GAATCCAAATGTGATGTAATCTGAGCATGTTTCACTGTAGCCATATCTCTAGAAACTAGGTGCTGCTGTTGCATCAGTATTAACTTAATTAAGCAAATTCGCTCCTGGGCACTGCCAAAATCTGGGCAACCAGACTCAGATCTGTGTCCAGGAGTACATATAAATTGTGAACCTCAGATTTCAGAGGGAGTGTAATCCCATCAAGCACAGGCTGGAGTCCTGTTTCCTGATCTGTCTTTTGATTGAGCAAGACCACCTATACCCAGTTCTTACAGCAAAGGACACTGCACAGAAACTTTCCTCATAGTTACGTTTTTTTCCATTTATTTTTATTGAATTTGATATGAGTTTGATAAATAACAGACTCGTTAAATTGTCTCGCACTCTTTTTCATTTCCCATATTTACATATACAGGTCTTTCATTTTTCTCTCCTTCCACAGCTGGGAGTCTGAATGGGGCCCACAGTGTTTGACAGGAGTACATCTGTGGGAGGATCTTTCCTTGAGGACAAGACAATTAGCAGCTTTGGATACTGGGTGTGCCCGCCATAACCTCAATTTGCCTGAGGATTGCAAGCCTGTCTTAGATCATTCTGTTTTTGTCATTGCACCTTTCTACACTGCCATATAATTCAGAATATCAAGGCAGATAACCCACATTATTTGCTGTGAACTGGATTATATGAGTCTACACTGCCAAATAATCCAGTTTGAAGCAGATAATCTGGATTTTATACAGCTGTTTAGAAGGGGTCACTAAGTTTGGCTGGAAACTCCAGTGGACTCTCCGTTTGGCAAGGTTGCTGGGGCTACGAGAATCTATAGCATTTCATGTATTATCACACACATAAATCTGAAACAGTAGCAATGCTATTCCCTTCCTGCATCATTCACAGGCAGGAACAGTCCCCTGGCACAGCTTGGCTAGCTCCACTAGCTGTAGCATTGTATTCTGGATCAACATCTTCCCCTGAGCTACAGAGTCAAGAGAAGCCAATCATGAGAAAAACATGTCTTGTGGTGCCTTCTGCAACGTAGTTGACACAAATTACCTTGATTATTTTTTTATATATGAGTGCATTTGATCACTTCCCATTAGGGAAAATAATGGAGTGTCTCCTCAAAGTAAAGAACCCTCCCCAAAAGACACCTCTTGACTGATCAAAATGTAATCTGTGTGTTGATCTCCTGGATAATGGGTCCCTATTGCTTCTATCAGAACATGCCATCCTTCCTTTGTATGCCAAGAGCATTTGCTTCCACTATGGCAGATTTGAACCAGCATTTCCTTGTGGTATCTGCTCTGTCATAGACTTGAATCCCAAGGGCAAGTTCAGGCAAAGCCTGCATAATTTCCTACAAGCCTTGTTTCTCAGTGCTTCTACAGTTGCTGTTCCTTTTATGCTTCTGCTTCCCTGAGGCATGTTAATCACTATTCTAGAAACTCATGACATGCCCTCCATGAAATCCCCTTCCATATCCATGGGGCTTGTAATGAGGTGGAGTTACTAAATGTATGTGCGGTGATGCTAAGTGCCAATCGAAATCACGCAAGTCATAGGCAAATATTTTTGTACATAATATGTTAGTTATGCTGAAATTTATATGCTCAATAATTTTGTAGTCTTGCTCAATTTGCACGTTATGCTTACAGCATTGTTTTCCCACGTTGTTTGAATATTAGGAAGTATTTACATTTTTCTCTTAAATTATGTGGGGGGGGGGGGGATGTAAGAAGAGCCAGTTTCTATGGTGCTAAAAAACCTGTAACAATCAATTGGGATAAGGAGAGATCCAGGCTGAGCATGCTTTCAACTGAACCTGGGAACAATGGGTGCTATCAGAAAAGCCTTATATGTGAGTGTACTTTAGATTTTTTGAATAAACAAAAGTTTAGTGACCTACAAATTAATCAATAAAAAGCTGTTCTCTGTATGACAAACTGAAGAGCCGAAGGATTCTTGCAGAAGCATTGACTTTAATCATTTAAGATATATTGTCTGTGAAGGCTTTCTGAAACATGTGTAATCTTTTGAACACTTTCACACACACTGAAGTGTTCCAAGTTTAGTTTGGACTTCCAGTTTAGCCCTACTGTAAGATTAGCATTAGAGAATCCAAAATTAGATATATAATTAACATTCCGCAAAAATAAGGTTTGAAATACATTCATATTCTTTTAATTGTGCATTCTTATGTAATGTTTGCTCACAAAGCAGAATGCAGGCATTGCTGCAAAATCACAGCAGTTCATTTGCTGTATTTTTGTCTAAACCATAATAATGTTTGATGCAACTAACCTATTTTTTTTAAAAAAAATAGTTTAGATGCATCAATGTAAATTAAATTCACATATATCCAAGTTTTAGATTGAAATCCAACAGCCTCTATCTTAAGTTACAAAAATAGATTAACCTGTATTTTCTACCTCCCATTTTTAATTATTATGTTTACTTTTCCTTCCTCAGGAAGGAAAATTACACAAAATGTTTTAGCTTTTGGTTAATTTTTGTATATAGTATATAAGTAGTTCTCATGTAGGACTCAAGGGCTATTTTGGGGGCCAAATTATGGATTTTGATATGACTCATCAGTAAGAAGTTCATTCAGAAGAGAGGGGATTTCCTCAAGAAGCCAGCTGCCCCTAACTGTTGCCACCATTTCCTCATCCAGGCATTTATAAAGGCCAAAAGCAATGCTACAATAGAGAGAGTAGACTGGTCCGTATATCTTTAAACTTCTCCTGGGACTAAGCTCTCACCTTTTGCCACTCCATTCTGAGATGACTCCTTTTCAATAAGAGTTGGAATACAATATGTATATCAGTCCAGGAATATGTTGACACAGGTTTTGGGGGTCAATTTTTAACTAAAATTTCGAGACATATATATGTATATATATAATAATATCTATTTCTTCTTCCTTTTCTCTAAAGAGCTTAGGACAATTTACTTTTTTTTTTCTTCACAACAACTTTGTCAGCTTAGGCAGGGAAATAATTCAAGGTCTCATTAATCTTACTAATCATATTAATGAGTGACTTGGCTGAATTGGATCCTAGTCATTGTCTTATCCACTAGGTCTCTCCTGAGATCTTTTTTTCTCAAGTAGATGGAATGAGCAGGGAAGACAGTGAGTTCAACAATTTCAGGATGTGGTCCTGTTCACACAATGATAGGAGTATGCTCTCATTTATATTCCTTCAATTGTGGGAGTACTATTACAAAACATCTCCAAGACACCACTTTGTGGAAATCTGCTACATGCATGTACAGTAAGTCCATTGGAGTCGGTAGGGCTTCGTAGAAGTGAAAATAAGTGTTTCATTTCTTAGTATAGTACTGTCCTGATCAATTTAGAAGAAGGGAAGGGTCACAAAGAAAAACAAAGCAAGTGCATGTATTGAAGTACTAACTGCAATAGACTCATACCTTCAGTTTTCAAATTTATACATTTATCATGTCAACAAGTTTTCTTCCAGTGGTAAATCCTGGCTGCAGTGGCACATCTTTTCCTGTGGCAGCAGTTCAGAGCACAGCTGGTGTCTAGTTCATTTCTAAAGCAGCCTAAAGTTGCCTGCAGCATACATCTCTGAACCCTAAGCACAACAACAGAATATAAATCTTGGTTCAGATCCCCTTATGTCAGATTTTAATATTTAATATCTCCTACTGCTGTATTCTTGAAGTCAAATCCCCATGTATCTTAAAAGATACAAAGGAATTTAGTCTTTCTTTTTTTCTAGATGGAAAATTTTGTGAACTGTTTGTTATCTTTTGATACAATACAGAGTGTAATTTTTAGTGAAGCCATTGCTTCAGAATCTGAACTTTACAATATTTTAAAAAGATGTTTGGGGTGGGGGGGTTGCAGAAAACAAATTCCCTTTCAAAAGTCATGGAAACGGCTTATCTTAATTCTGTACTTTCTTGAAATAGCAGACCAGAGAATTTTTAAATAGACATTTGATTGAAGATAATTCATACCACATTTTTCTCCTTAACTGTAGGTAAACTCCACAGAACACTGGGATTTACATATGTACAGTACTTATGTACAGAACTGCATTATAATTCAAAGATACAGTAGACTGTATCAGTTGCTAATAATAATATAATGATCTTTTACATTGATATCTCTACACAGATTTCAGATATTTTATATTTAATATCTCAGTACATTCAGTGAAATCTTGAACCAATATGTTGTAGCAATCTTGAAACTTCTAGAAGATAAGGGAAAAAATTCTGCCTTCTCCAAGTCATAACTGATTAAGCACTAGATTAAATACTTCAATTTGGGATTCTGAAAGAGAGCTGCATTTAAAGGAAAGTAAGTTATTAAAATGGCATGTAACTATTAAACAGCATGCCCTGCTTCAATTCATCTTGTTATGTATTGGAGAATTTTCTAGAGGTGTCTTTTTCCTCACCGTCTTATCCTCCCAGCTGTTGCTTTTTATAAAGACAGGCCCTTAATGTTTGCCCCATCAGTCTCTTTTGTGCTGTTCACTGTGATGATGCAGCCCTATGAAGAGAAATGTATGGATTCATCTAGAGCAGTGGTTCCCAACCATTTTTTGACCAGGACCCACTCTCCAACATTAGTATCAAAATGATTACAAATCAGTTTTTGGTCAACTTTAGATTCGGTTTGGTTATTTGTGGTGCTGGTTTAGAAACTTGCATTGAATACACCACATCAGCTCTAGTTTCCGATACAGAACATATGCCACCCAGTAGTCGCCATCTGCTTGCCCACAGAAAACGATATTTGATAAGCCTCGGCACTATAAGAGGGTTTCGTGTGACCAATAGCTCTCGTTACAACTGTGTAGTAACAGTGAGGCTACGGACCATTTTTTAGTTCTTGCGGTCCATGGACCACGGGTTGGGAATCACTGATCTAGAGGCACTATTGGCAATTTTTGTGATTTCTTCCTTTGTTACACATTAACAAACATGATTCTCTTATTAGTATTGTGTTGTTTTTCCCACAGAGGAAGATGTATATGGTGTTTATGCCAATCTATTTTTCAAGCATTTCCTTGCAGAAGGAGTCATCTGTGGACATAATTTATTTGTTGCTTCTGATAAAGAGGACCCTGCTGACATCTTAAAGGTAAAGAAAAGGTTTCTTCCATGTGATCATTTCCTAATATATCTGATTTTGTTAAAATCAGCAAAGCTAACCACTCAAGCTATGCCAAGATCCTGTACTCAATTAGGTGTCTATATTACTTAGCTCATACCTTGGAGCCCCTGGTGGCACCATGGGTCCAACCCTTGTGTTGGCAGGACTGCTGTTCGAATCTGGGGAGTGGGGTGAATTCATGTCTGTCAGCTCCAGCTTCTCATGTGGTGACATGAGAGAAGCCTCCCACAGGATAGTAAAAAACATCCAGGCATCTCTTGGCAATGTCCTTGCAGTTAGCCAGTTCTCTCACACCAGAAGCAACTTGCAGTTTCTCAAGTTGCTCCTGACACTAAAAAGAATCTTATACCTCCAAACTCTCCCCCCCCCCCCCTATATAAAGTCATCAAAATGCAACACAATACTTTTAAATATCTATTCAGGATTTTTATAAACCTGTTTTTGTATTAAACTAATTGCAATGATTCATAGAAATCCAAGATATAAAATCACATTATTACACCAGATCTAAGAAAGTTTGCAATAATGGGGAGAATAGTGAAATCAGGTCACATACAAGCTCTTTCTATTCTTTACCAAAGGTTCTAATGTCACTGTCTCTCTATTCCAACAAGTCATTGCTCTACAACAGTATGAAAACAAATGTGGAAAATTGATAATTTTAAAATAAACTGAGGCAATTTATACAGATTATTAATACTAGAAATTTTCACATTGACCTCTTAAATTTTATGATATATCATCGATAGTTTCTTGATTCTGGAACAAAGACACATATTGCTGGTTTTGGTAAGGGAAAAAGATAGTTTTATAGACCATAATTATCATAAAACCGTATAACAAGTAGAAGATAAAAAAGCCCTATCACCTGCCTCAGATATATTACATTACCACCCAGCAATTTATCCATCATCTTCTGAAAACATATTCATGCCTATTGTACTCAAAGCTTCTTAGCAAGTCAGCATCAAGATGTAACATTGTTGAAAAAATTACAACCCTGTAAAAATCCTATGGAATGAAATACAGAAGATTTTAAACACGTCTGTTCAGTCAGTTCATCTGTCAAAAAGCAGCCGTACCACTACATACAATAAGAAATTAAACTGTACCAGAGCATTGTGGGGTCTTACTCAAATGTACTTAGAGATACAAGTAGTTGTAATCAAGACCGAGGTCATTTTGACAGGTGGAGACAGCCCAGGAGAAATTCATGTTTCCCCACGTGGCTAGCCTGTGAATCACACATGTGGTAATACTTCCTGCACGCGCAGGCAGCAACGGACACTCACGAGCTCACTCCAACTGGCCGTTAGAGTAGCCCCCGCCCTCTCCTCCTCACTCCTATAAATAGCCAGCTGCGGGGCTACGGACCAGTTCTTTAAATTCGCCGCAATTAATCAGCAACGGATACGCGGTTAAGAAGATATAAACAATATCTTTAAAAAGTGTGTATCTTGCCCCAATAAGATACCAGACAATGATGCACACTTACAATGTGTAGGCTGCCTGGGAGAAGTTCATCTCTCCCAATCATGCGAGATCTGTAGGGCCTTCACACCCTAAACTAAAAAGAATAGAGAACTCAGACTGAAGGCAGCTTTATATGAACAAGCCCTCCTTGCTACACCACAAAAAGAAATGGAGGGAACACCCAATATTAAAATTACTACTAAGAAAATACAAATGGCGACACGACTCAAGGACTCTCAAAGCGCAAGTAATGCGTTAAAGAAAAAGAAGAAATTTAAGCCTCTGCTTCCCTCACGAGAGAGAAAAATGGCGCCGCAAACACAAACTGAGAAGGAACAAGCGGCAAAAGATGCTCCTCTGGCTAAAGACATGCAATCGGGGGCCAAAGGGGCGACCCTAAAGCTGCCCATTGACCAAACTAAGAAAGGCCAGATGGCCGAAATGGAGCCATCCGAAACGCCGCCTACCTTAAGGGCTCAGATTGTCTGCCAGGATGCTCCAGAAGCCCCGATACCGATGCCCTCGGTATCGATGCAAGCAGGCAAACCGCAAGGAGAAGCCTCCCCGAGACGCGCGAGAGCGCGCCCTCCATCGCGGAGCCTGCCAAACAGGAAGGATAGACGTTGACACCGCAGGCGGTCCCCATCGGGGAGCTCCACAAGCTCCTCCTCTGACTCCACCTCCAGCTCCTCCCCCTCTCCCAAAAGGGGGAGGAAAAACAAAGGGAGAAGCCATAGAAGCCGTTCTAAGGCTTCCTAAATGGGGATTAGCTGCCAGGGCTGGCGGCCTCCCATGCCACCTAAAGAGGGCTATTGGCAGTTAACCCCTCAAGGGCAGATGATATTCTGTGCGGGTCCTACCCATATGTATGCCAACCTGATAATCAAAGAAAGAAAGAAAGATAATAAAAATAGGCATGTTTTGAGGAGGCATGTTCCTCCAAGCCAATTGGAGGAAGATTATGAAGATCCCTTGGAGGGACCCTCCACACCAAGCTCAACATTAAGTCTAAATGAGCATCAAGAGATATTAAGAGACCTTTCTGAGTCCAGATGATAATCCACTTCTTTTTGAGGAAGTAAAGGACAAGGAACAAGATAAATCTAATGTGGAGGAATTCAAGAGGTTTAATGCTATCTTATCCAGAATGATAAGAGCATTAGATTTACCGTCCTCCAAACCACAAGATACAGTGGAGGATCCAATGTTTCCCACTGATGAACAAGACGTTCCTAACACTACAGCATTACCATCTTTGCCATACCTGCTGAAACTAACAAAAGTTCCAGAAGGGTCACCAGCGGCAGCACCAGCCATGCCAAGAAAAGTGGACAATCTTTATAGGATTGACTTAACAAATGCAGACTGGTTGGTTCGCCCATTCAGACCAAACACTGTTATCGCTGAAGTAGGGCAAGGGAAGAAATCTAGGAAAACAGCAACAGCACCTGCTGATAAAGAGGGGAAAAAATTAGATACCATGGGAAAGAAGATGCACATGGCGGCAGGTCTCATTACCAGAATGGCTCATTGCGCAACCTATATGAGCGCATATCAAACTTTCCTGTGGAATAAAGTGTTGCCACATGTTAACATTCTGCCAGACGAAGAACAACGTTTGCCTAGGGCATTTGCTACAGAGGCCCTACTTCTCTCTAAATATCAGAAAGAGTTTGCTAAACACTTAGCAGAGTCGGCAGGCAAAATGTTTGCTATTGCAACATCAACTAGACGTCATGCTTGGCTGAGAGCATCTGACCTATCGGAAGAAGATAGATCCTTGGCAGAGGAGCTACCAATGTTCCATGATGGATTGTTCAACACTACAACAGATGAAAAGCTGAAACACAACCAAGAGATGAAGAAGACCATACAAATATATGGTTTCCCAAAACAGAACACATACCAGCAACGACCAAGATGGCAGAACACCTCTCCATACTATAGAAGAGGCTTTGGTAATTACATGAATACACAGCAACGCCAATACTCCACACAATACTCCAGACCGTTTGTGCCAAGGAAACAAGGTTTCGGAACTAAGAACCGTTTTCAACCATATCAAAACAAAACAAACCGCACTGGGGGTCCTAAGCAGCGTTTTTGATAACGACTGCCCCAGAAATGATTCACCGGGAAATGTCCCCAAGGTTGAATCAATACTCCAAGTTACTGATGTTATATGTGTTGAACGTTCATGTTGTCAAAGTAAAGGGGTAGATGATACGGAGCCTCCTACGTTTGGCAACCGCTTGGCACCCTTTTTCAATATTTGGGCAAGAATTACAACAGACCAATGGGTTTTAAAGATTATTAAAAATGGTTATTTCATTGAATTTAAGCAACTGCCTCCTGTTGGACAAATTAAAGTCACACCTCAGTCTCCGTTACTGCAGGAAGAAATAGACAATCTCCTTTCTAAAGGGGCTATTTCTCCGTTGCCGCTAGGGCAACAGAAGTTATGTTTTTATTCAATATACTTTTTAGTATCTAAAAAGGGAGGAGGTCAACGTCCAATCTTGGATTTGCGAGATGTAAACTCTTACATAGAGCCTAAGAGATTTCGAATGTTATCGTTAAAAATACTGTTGCCATTGCTGAATAAAGGTGATTGGTTCACAACGGTGGATCTTAAAGACGCTTATTTCCATATTTCAATTAATAAGGAGCACAGAAAATATCTAGCTTTTATGGTAGGAAGCCATGCTTATAGTTTCAATGTTTTGGCTTTTGTATTGGCAACTGCGCCACGAGTTTTTACTAAATGTATGGCAGCAGTAGCAGCTTACCTGCACACTTCGGGTGTTACGGTTTATCCGTATATAGACGATTGGTTAATCGTGGCTAGATCTAAAGAGATTCCCGAAGAGCATGTCAAAAAAACCTTATGTTTTTTCCAGTCCCTAGGTCTCATCGTGAATTGGGAAAAGTCCCAGCTCACGCCGACAAGAAGAATACAGTTTATTGGCGCAATTCTGGATTCGGAGTTGGAGAGGGCGTACCTACCCGACGACCGTTTCAAAAATCTAGAAAAACTGATACTTCAAGTAATTCAGGAGAAAAGGATAAGAGCCAGAAAGATCCAGGTCATTCTGGGACACATGGCTTCTACTACAGCAGTGACCCCTTTGGCAAGGCTGAACATGAGACTATTACAATTGTGGTTCCTTTCTTTATACAACCCTCAAACATGCAAACCTTATGTACTCCCATCTTTACCTGGGGAAGTACGGGACTCCCTAATATGGTGGCTGGAGCGCAGCAATGTCTGTGCGGGACTGCCATTCCAGGAAGTTGCTCCTTCCAAAACCATGACAACAGATTAATCACTCATGGGGTGGGGAGCACATGTGGACGGCCTCACGGCTCAAGGAAGGTGGACACCACTGGAGTCCATCCTACACATAAATCAGCTGGAACTGTTGGCAGTCGGAAAGGCCCTGAAAGCCTTCGAGCTGGTTCTCACCGGTCAAGTCATCCAAATTCTCACAGAC